CCCCCCCCCCCCGAATTCACTCTCCTTCAGACTGTTCTCACCATGCTCCCTGATGGTCTGGTCTAAACATCAGATCCAGTCAGTGTCTTCCCATCGGGGTGAAAATGACCACCCTATCATCCTAGCACACTATTTGTTTAAAAAAACAAAAAACTCTGCCTTTAGCCGCTGACCAACAACCACCTTTCTCCTTTCTTACTGCTTCTGTAGCAGGAATAATTTGTTTCTTATTTTATATAAAGATTCCACTTTTCTCTCTTGCAGAGCTACTTACTCTTTTCATCCTCAGCACCACTGAACCAGGAGACTGCTGTGTCTGAAGTAGTCACACAGGAAAGTGGAAAGTGAAATATTAAGCATCTCTAAAAGCTTGTTGGTTTCAGGACTGCAGAAATGTTGCTCGTGCCTAGCAATCAGGAGGCCTGGGCTCAGTCCTCAGCACTATTAAAAGGAATTCTACATGGAATTTCTTGTTCCATCACCAATCTTCAAGGAACCTATAGAGGGCTTTTTTATGTGTAGTCTTGAAACAATGATGTTTAATACCAGGATTGACCTTTGCAAAGAAAACTGTAGAAACCTTATGTGTGTTTCTGGAAGTATTTTTGTGTTGAAGAGAAAGATGTGTATTTCAAGGATTTTATAGGACAAAATGTAGACTATATGATTATGACTGCTTCCTGCTCAGCCTGACAACTTGAGTCTAATCCCCAGGATCCATATGGTTGAAGGAGAGAACTCATTCTCTTATTCTGTCCTCTGATCACATATACACCAAAACGTGTGTGCACGCACATAGAATACATTTAAAAATTTTAATGTAATAAAAAATTATTCCATGCGCCATAGTTTCACCTTTTGTTACCTAGTAAAGGTAAGCGTTTTAACATGGACTACACCAGTTTTCTAAACAGTGGTTATGTGGGACAGGGTAGATAGCTCAGTCAGTAAAGTGCTTGCTTTACAAATATTAGGATCTGAGTTTGATCCCCAGAAGCCACGTACAGGTACCAGGCATAGTGGCTGCACAATTGTAATCCTGGTATTGGGGAGGCAAAGATAGGCAGATCCTTGGGACTCACCCACCCGGAAGCTTCACCTACTTAGCAAGCTATAGGCCAGTGAGACAGTCTCAAAAAAAAAAGAGGAAAGAAAGATGTAAGTACCTGAGGAATGATACCAGAGGTTATCCTCTGGTTTTCATACTTAAGTACACATGCATACGTACCTGTATACATAAACATACACATAGAAAAATAATGAAATGCTCTAGACCTAAAGAAAGGTCTCTAAAAGTTGGAGTTCTGTTGCTAACTCTTGAGTGATCTCCCTTTATTAATTAATAGTGTATAAAATGTACAGTGAAGCCAGGGCTAGTCAGAAGGGCCACTGTACTGGTTATTCTTCTCATCTCTGTCAAGGGTTTATTTTGACTCAGTTTAGGGGGATCCAGTGTAGACATAGCAGCAGGCAGCTCTCTGGCCATGGACAGATGCAGATGGAACTCCCCTCTTCATATCAGCACAGCATGAACCAAGCTGAGACAGGAAATAGAGCCTGGCATTAAAACTCAAGGCCAGCCCTCAGTGGCTTCCTCCAGTGAGTCCCCACCACCTGAAGAAGATTCCATAATGTCTCAGTACAGTACCACCAAATGGGGACCAAGAATCCTAAGACATGTTCCCACTGAAGCAAAACCTTCCTACTAAAAGCAAATGACATATGGAGCAGGTGGGCTGGGCCTGCTTTGGTTTGAGTATTTCATGGATTTTTCTAGCCTTCTGCTTGTCTTCCTAGTTAATCAAGCAGACAGTGTAAACCAAATGGTTTGCTTGGCAAGTAGCAGCATCCCCCTCCATCCAGCCCCAAACGCAGGATAAGAAGACAAGAAACTTCAGGGGTACAAGAAGAGAAAGGAGCCCCTTATCTTGAAATTTGGTTGAAGTCTTTCATCCACTGCAAGGCACAACCAACAAATTTGCTTTGAAGATAGCCTGTAGAGATAATATTCCCTTTTCACATCAGACAAGGATGTGAAAAAACAGTAAATAAAAAAGGCTACTTAGGGTTAGAGTATTTGTTACCTTTTAGTGTTTTTTTTTAAACCTAAAGCAAGATACCTTAAAGCTGCCTTCCAATTTCTTTTACAAAAAGGAGATGATTGAAGAAAAACAAATAAACCAGCTTGTATTTTTGTTCTTGTTTTTGGAATATCACTTAATTTTCAAATCTTGTTTAAATTATTCTTTGTCCTTTGAGCAATGTAACTTCAAAAGCCATAGAATTATAGACACCAAAATGTGACTTTCTTATGAGTTTACCTATGTATTGGGTGTGCACTGCCCTTCCCTGTCTTCAGGAGTTTGCTCTGTGTCTAGGATACATACTAATGTCATTTTCTTAGGTCTCTCTCTCTAAAATGTCCTGACTTCTATTTCAGTATGTACATTGTTCCGTATCTCTACTTAGTACACTCACTGACTTTGCTTCACTCTGGCTCATTGTGAAGTTCTTTCCTGTGCACAGTCAAGAATCCAGCATCATTTGGGGGGTGGTTTCTCAGGAAACTCCAGAGTCTGGCAGCAGTGTTGGTCTGTGTCTCCTGCTACTGCTGATGGCTCCACTCACTGTCCTGTCGCCTCCCTTCTTGTCTGGGGAAAGGTACGTGGTCATTACTGTCCACAGAAGGTCTCCTCCTGCCTGCTTTTCCAACATCAGAGTCAGAACAACTAATGATCATCATTGCATTAAACTATTTGGAAATAATTTTGCATTTATAGGATAATGGTAAACACAGAGCCAAGTCTTTCTGTATTCTTTCCCTAACATCTTTAATCATGGTACATTTTCAAACAAAAATGTTTACACTGATACAACATGTTAAGCCCCAGGCTTAATGCAGACTTCACCGAATATTCCACTGATATCCTTTCCTATTTCAGAATGTGATCCAAAATACTGTGTTACACTTAGGGACCCATTGTATTAAAAGGTAAAATTAAAAAGGTTGGGGGGGCATGGGAGGATGGGGGGAGAGGAAACTGGGATTGGTATGTAAAATAAGATTGTTTTTAATTTAAATAAAAATTTATTTTTTTAAAAAAAAAGGTAAAATAGCACCAATATTGCATCTATATTTTGGAAGTTCAGCTTACTGGAGTAATTTCATTGCCTAAGGTGGAGAAGGGAGGTTATCCAGACCAGCAAACTGTTGTGGAACACAGTGGACTCACTGTGAAGGTGAAAAATACTTTTCACTTTAACCCCCAGTGCTTACATCTGACAGAAAAGAATGTCTTTGATGCTGCTTTAATTTTCTAGCATTTTGTCGCCAACAATCAGTAACTTAATTGTCGCTCCCTTTCTCTTTGGCTTCTTCTTGATAATTTTCCTTGTGTCTAAATGAGTTTAGAATGAGCACGATTTTATATACCAACATTATTAACAAGTGTCAGCACAGCTCTGAAAATAGTGCCTGGGAGTCACTTGTTTCAGAACTCAGAACAGAGAGCCAGCTCCTGCTAACTCCCACCCGTGGCTAATTACAAAAAAAAAAAAAAAAAGAGTTCCAAACCCACATGACAACTTCAGCCCCAGTTTCATCCTTGAGAAAAAGGCTGACTACCACACGATTTGCATGAAGAACTAAAGTTAGCCTGGGGACATTTTCTTTGATATAAAAGCTTAAATGAGAAGCTAAGAAACATAGGTCCAGGTGCAACAAAGGCGGACTGAGGGGAAAG